GTAAGAGAAATTTTCCCAACTGTTAACTAGTATAGAAAGAGAAGGTGAGAGTTCAGATCCAAACCATGCGTTCTGATGCGTTCTACCACACCAACATTTTACTGTAATTCAAGTGTACTGTGTGTTTTTGTTCTAAAACCAAGCTTGGGAGAAAATTTCATTTTCTACATTATAAGTCTGCTGTGCAAGAAATGGGAAAGAATGTCCCCAGGCAGTGTTAGAATGCTGCTTTCCCTTCTTATTCCAATTAGAGTTCTGGCCCCAGGTGACTGGGTAGGTGCAGAAACATGTGACTTGTTTTTGATTGACAAACCGGTGAAGCCAGCTGGATGGAGGGTTCCTGAGACTAAGTGGCGGATTCCTTTGCCTTCAGGGCTGGTTTTGGAATAAGCCCTTGCCTCCCGACTAAACAAACACTTGAATTCTTCTTTATATTAGTCAGAATCAGACTTAGAGTTGGAGAGCACCTGAGAGACAATTTCCTGAAGGCCAACATCTCTGGTAAAGCTTCTATAACAGACACTGTTTCCATCTCTGGCTGACAAGTTTTTGTGAGGATTTTATAACTTGAGGTTTGCAATTTCAGCCCTTGCTGTTCTTTTCGGCAGAGTTCCCCTCCAACTGTGCTGTGGATCAGACAAAAAAACACATATAGCATATGAATGTGTTTATTTTAGCCTTAATAAGTGAAATACATCGCTATTACACAGCAGTAAGTCATTTTGACGTGGATATAGTCTCCTTTTCTCTTGTAAGTATTATCATTCAAGCCATAATGGAACTGTATTCTTTCTTTCTAACTCATCCAGAATCCTACTTTAAGTGATTCCTTGACCAGGCTGCTAATTTCCGACACTGTCCTTTTTCACAATCTGCTGCAGAACAAACTTGGCAGCCAAGACTTGTTTCTTGAATTTCAGACAATTATATCGAAGTACTTACAAGACGCTTGGGTTGGATGCTCCGTGGACAACTGAAACTTAACCTGTGAAAAACTGAAGCCATCATTTCCCCAAACCCCACTTTCCCCCAAACCACTTTCTACTCTGTGGTATTCCTTAGTTCTGTGAATATCATCCTACATACCCATTTGTCCAAAAAAGAAATCTGGAAATTGCTCCAGACTTTCTTATTTCCCCATATGTTCAATGTCCTATACTTCCATTTTGCCATCTCAGCTGCTATTGGCTTAGCTTAGGTCTTCAACATGTCTTGAAAGAAAAGTATGCCAAGATACACAAATATGTGTGTGTGTTCACATTGTAACATTATTTGTAATGCCCAGCAATAGAGGATTTGTTACAAAGATTTATGTGTGCCTAATATCCCATGCAATGGAATACACTGCAGCCATTCAAATATTAATATGTATATATTTACATGTAAAGTTTTATAGCAAAACATGTTTAGTATGATTCCATTTATAATTAAAAAACACATACACATGTATGTTTGAGTAAACCCATTTTTTTTTCCTCTTTGGAAGAATATAACCTAAAGCTGACAATATGGTTATATTGGGAAGAGGAATGAAGGGTTGGATGAAGAAGAAAAATTTTTTCTGTTTCTTTTCTTTGTTTTATATGATGCTCGAATTTTCTCCTTACATGTAGTTCTTCCTTAACTTCTAAAATTCCAATTAACTCATTTATATTATGATAACTTAGAAGGATTAACAAGCAAGGGACAAAGTTTTAACTCAAGGAACATAACTATAGGAGTAAAACACTTTAAATGAAATGAACGAGATAGGACGGTGGCTGGCAAAGTACCAACATCTTCTTAAAAGTACTGAAATTGCATTAAAGTGCTGGCCTCTTCTCTGGAGTCCTAGAGTGGGCCCTCTCTAGGCTTTTCCAGAGTCTAGATTTGAGCCATCCTCTGGAGAAAAAAACGGAAAACACAGGTTAGAAATGCTCAAGTTTTGTGTTGATAATGTGTGGCTGAGTAATTCATAAACACTGGTTAAAGAAATCTCAAGGGAATGTGTGGTGATTACTTGGAGTGGCTTTCTGAGAATAGTCAGACCCTTGAAGATATTTATTTGTATGTACTAAACCCTTCAGAAGAACACCTAAGAGAAGTATCTACCCACTTCCTTCGTACCTTGCCGTGAACACTGATCTGTTGCTAGGTACTGTCCTATGGGCTTTATATACGTTATGTTTTTAATCTGCATGACAACTTTTAAATTAAATATTAATATTCCTATTTTACAGATTAAAAAAATCTAAAGGTTAGGGAGGTTACATAACTCTCCGTGGTTAGATAATAAGTATCAGAGCCAGGATTTGAACCCAGGTGGTTTCGCTCCTGACAGCTTAACAACTAATGTCAGTGAAAGAAATGTCTGGGTTATGCACTTGGATGAATGCAGGGTCCAGGAAGCTAATATAAGTGAACACAAAGGACCAGGTGTAAGGTACCAAATAGAAAGTAGTAGGAACTGTGTGAACCAGAGAGCCTAGGGCAGATCCGGTGTTGTCAGATCTCCTAATTTTCTATGGGAAGTCAGAACCCAGAATGGTCACTTTATATATAGAGTTTACATGTTCCGGTCTTACTGCCCTACTTTGGGTTAGGGCTTGCTTTCTTGGGTATTTTGACACAGGATAGCCAAGTAGCTGGCTCTTTCCTAGGCATAAACAAATGGCTACAGCCTGGGAATTTTCATGCCTCCTGAGCGCCATATATTTGGTTGTCAGACCGAATGGAAATTCACCTGTGTTTTGTGAAGAGACAATTTGGACAACTTTCATAAAGCAGGTCAATAATTTTTTAATCGCAGTCTAAAATTTATGCTACTATAGAGTATGTGAGGAAAATGCCTGCTTGCCTGCTGGACTAGTGCTCAGAGAACAGACTTCACTAATAAAGGTCTTTGGAGACAAATCATCTCATCTGCTTCTATCTTTTCCCAAACATCTGAAACAGCGACTATGATGAGCAATATTACAAGGTTGCAGCTCAGGCTGACAATGGGACATTCTCTCTCCCTTCACTCTTAAAAAATAAAAAAAGTTATTAAGCGCTTATTGAACTAGACACTTCAACCACATTATCCCATTTAACTCTCACAAGAACCCTGTGAGTGCATACGATTTTACACTGTTAAAATGACAAAGCCAAGACTCTGAATGGTAATTATGTGTTTTTTTATTTTTTTAAATTTTTTTTTTCAACGTTTATTCATTTTTTTGGGACAGAGAGAGACAGAGCATGAACGCGGGAGGGGCAGAGAGAGAGGGAGACACAGAATTGGAAACAGGCTCCAGGCTCTGAGCCATCAGCCCAGAGCCCGCCGCGGGGCTCGAACTCACGGACCGCGAGATCGTGACCTGGCTGAAGTCGGACGCTTAACCGACTGCGCCACCCAGGCGCCCCTTATGTGTTTTTTTAAAATCACCAAGGCGTCATACAAAAACTAGTTGTGTGTGACTCTAAATATCACGGCCTGAATTTTAGTTACCCTTTTTCTGCCTCCTAACTGATTTAATTTTCATTTGTATTGCACCAGCTCCCTGATGCATTTTCAGCTGCTTGCCACAATGGTATCACTGTCATTACTTGCACGCATGTACACCCGTTCTCGATGACTGTGATCATGACCAGGGCAAAGTTTATGATTTCCCCCTGTTCTACACCCCGTTGAGGAGACAGAAACCCTGGAGTCATTCCTTGACACATCCATTTCTTTCCTCATCATATGTCTAATCCATCTTAAAGCACTGTTGATTCTGCCTCCTAAATATTGTTCAACTACAAATAGTTCTTTCCATTTCAATGGCTACCATTCTAGACAAACCTATCAAATCTCACTTGCAGCCCTGCACTAACCTTCTTTCCCCATGGCTTCTCTCAATGCCCCCAATCCATTCTTCGCAGAGGGAGAGTCTTCCTTCCAGCTAGAGAGATATTCCTAAACTGCTAACACTGATCAAACCAATCCACTGCATGGTAAACTCAAATCCTTACTCTATTTAAACATTTTGGCAGTGGTTTCCCATCACTTTATTTTTTATTTTTATTTCACATTATTTTGTTTTTAATCATTTGCAATGTTCTGAAGATCACATGTAAACATTTTTTAAAGGGGCACTTGAGGGGTTCAGTTGGTTAAGTGTGTGACAGGCTCAGGTCATGATCTCGCAGTCCGTGAGTTCGAGCCCCGCGTTGGGCTCCGTGCTGACAGCTCAGAGCCTGGAGTCTGCTTCAGATTCTGTGTCTCCCTCTCTCTCTGCCCCTCCCCCGTTCGCATTCTCCCTCCCTCCCTCTCTCTTTCTCTCACTCTCTCTCAAAAATAAATAAACCTTAAAAAAAATTTTTTAACATTTTTTAAAGACATGAAATAACGTAGTTGTTGTTTTGTTTTTTTACATACAACCACAACTATAAAGTAGAGGAGGTTGAGAAGATAGGGAAAAAATCTGCTTCTTACATAGTATGGGGCAATCTAATACACAACACAATGTGAATGTATCCTAACAAGTTTGCTAAGAAACAGCTCTCGTGTTTCATGCCACAAATACAACAATCTTCTCACTTAGAAAAATCAAGACATCGTTTGGTTAATAAAGCCTATTATTCCCCAGTTTCACGTTTGTCCTCGTATAGAAACTGTAAATTCATGAGAAAACGAAAATAACAAATTGTGTTATGGTATAAAAATCTTAGGAACAACAAATTACAAATATTGTTTTTTAAAAAAAACAAAAAACCTTTTCCTTCCCAGTATGTAAATATCCAGTTAATAAAATAAACATAATATTCCAGGTATAGAAACACTAGTAATTTGCTTATGAAAGGGTGTACTTGGTGGTAACATTTGTTTGTCTTAAGTATAAAAGCACTGTACCAAAAGAATCAGGCCATTGTTATTTAAAGTCTACTCCTTCACCCGGTTTCCTTATCTCTGTAGAAACTCATCAATTTCTATAGAATTTTGGCTATAGGACCAGGCCACAGGAAAGGTCTGAAATATCTAAAAGCTATTTGGTTGTAGAAAAGTGTTTTCTTGAGACTTGGAGGCAGTTATTTATCACTTTGCACTTAAAAGAATTCCTCCATGAACTTCTTTCCTACAGCCTTTAGAAAAAAGCCCAGGATCTGGGCTCTGGGAAGAGGTTGCTTCCAACGGGAACACCTACCAGGTGGGCATCCTTGCAGGCATTCTGCAGGTGGTACTGTTGAAGCTCCCTCAGCCTTGATCCTCTCCTTGGCCTCCAGCCTGAGCTGCTCCTTCAGGTGCTGCAGGGCATTCACACTGGCCCTGGAAGACACAGCATTAGTGCTGGGCTCTGAGGACAGGCAATTTCCCATCACTTTGAAGACAATGAACAAAATCTTTAACCTGACTTAAAAGTCCTACCTCAACCAGCTCTAGTGTACCTCCCACTGCTTCCCATGCCATGTGACCCCTTTCTCTTGCTTCAAAGAGAGGCAAAACAAGTTAAATTTCCCCTGCTACAGGGCCTTTGCACACACTGTTCCTTCTTCCTAATAAACTCTCTCCCACCCACTTGCATGGTTATATCCTACTCTTTCTTTTGACCTCAGTTTCATTTTTATACTTTGGGAAAGCCTTTCCTAGCCCCCTTAACCTGATTTTCCTGCTGCCGATGATCCCATGCTTCATATCTTGGTTACAGAAAGTAATTTTCTACCTACTCAGATGATATAATCTCCTGGTAAACACTAAGCTTCATTTCATGGAGCCCTTAAACATTTTTTTAATGTCTATTTATTTTTCAGAGAGTGAGAGAGAGACAGAGCACAAGCAGGGGAGGTGCAGAGAGAGAGAGGGAGACACAGAATCTGAAGCAGGCTCCAGGCCCTGAGCTGTCAGCACAGAGCCCCACACAGGGACTCAAACTCATGGACTGTGAGATCATGACCTGAGCTGAAGTCAGTTGCTCAACCAACTGAGTCACCCAGGTGCCCCTCATGGAGCCATTCTTGTATGCTATTGTATTCCCAACACCCATTTCAGTTCTTGGAAAAAGTAGTTGCTTGTTAAATGTTTGTTGAATCAAATGGATAATTCAATGAATGTTTTTTTCTTTATGCTATTCTCATATAAAATACTAAAATGGTATTCCTTTATTACGCTACTAAAAAGATCCATGAAGTTTGCCCCAACTATATTAGTAAGCATTATCATCCTTCTTTGAATATCACACAAATTGTAAGTTCCATACTATTGGCATTTCCTTGTTCTTTCTATTTGTAAAGGAGATATGCCCCTTAAAATCAAGGGTCCTACTGTACATATCTGTTGATTTACCTACTTTACTGCCTTCCTCCATCTTATGCTACATCTTGTGCCACAAATAAAATACTGCTAGTTTAGATTTGGTATTAAATAAATATTATGTCAGGGTTTTTTAAAGCTCATTAGAAAATTGGTAAAAAAAAAAGTTTGAAAAAACAACTGTGGTAGATTAATATCAATCTCTTTGGAATTTTATACGAACCTGACTTTGGAAGTTTAGAAAGACTATGGCAAAACACAAAGATACATTGAAAAGAGAAAAAGGCAGAAAAAATGTAACAGGCGAATGCCACCAGATGAACTAAGGATGGAAATATGAAAGTTGTATGGAATGGAACTTAAGGAAAAATTATTTGTAAATAAAAAGGAATAGTTTATATTGACTAAGATCCAATCCACCAAATACTTCTTGCAGCTGTGAATTCGCATATACTGAATAATAAAAGATCAACACAAATATAGTACAAACTGACAAATACAAGGAGAAATTAAATAATAATAATTTCAGGAGACTTTAACCTAAAACTCCTAGAACTGGTTATACACACACACACACACACACACACACACAGGAACATACACTCACATGCAACATTCAAAGATATTCAAAGTAAGTGGAAATTAACCAGTAAGGGAGATTTCACATCATTTGCTAATGACTTTGCGGTATTTATAGAAGTTCTTCATGTGCTAAGGTCAACAGAAGTTTCAATAACTTCCTAAAAGTACATATTATTAAAGCTGCATTGTGTGGAAATAAAGTAAAATAACTAGATAGCATAGTGAAAGGTTATCAAATCATTTGGAAAATGCATGAATTAATTTCTGAATAAGTCTTAAGTTATAGATGAAATCACAAAATTGAATATATGGAATATGTGAGGATACTCTACTAATCACAAAAACATGATATTCAGAAGAAAATTTATTGTACATATAACAATTTTAAAATTAAAATACATTTAAATATATAAGATGAAAAGAACATAAAAGTAAATAAATAAAACATAGGTAACCTCTATCACCAAAGGCACTTGATGCCGATGGTTTTATGGTGAATTTTGTCCCAGTCTTCAAGCACCCGAAAACTTATTTATGCTGCTTTCAAACATTAAAAAAATATAGACACTCCCAAAAGTTGTTCTATGACTTTAGTATAATCCTAAAAAACTAATTCTAAAGTTCAAATCTAAGAGAAAATATTCTAGAATTGCCAAGAATATTTGGGGAAAAAATGAATTCTGACTTGCCCTCACACATATCAGAGTATAAGAAATAGTTATAGTAATTTAAGCAGTTTGGTATTTTTTTTTAAATAGGCAAATGGATTCATTTGGAAGAATATATTCTAATTATCATTTCAAATCCACTGTGGAAATAGTATAAGATTTGAATATCTTTGAAAAGATATTGGGCCATAAGAGACTCTTAACTATAGAGAAGAAACAGGATTGCTGGAAAGGAGCGGGGTGGGGGGATGGGCTAAATGGGTGATGGTATTAAGGAGGCACTTGTGATGAACACTGGGTGTCATATGTAGGTGATGAATCACTAAATTCTACACCTGAAACCAATTTTACCATATGTGTTAATTTCTAATTAAAATTTAAATAAAAACTTGAAATAAAAAAAAGAAAAAAAAGAAAAGCTATTGGAATAATTTGGGGAAAGCATGTTAACATTCTACTTTACATCATGTCCAAAGAAATTCTGTAAAGATGAAAGATCTAAATGTAAGAACGAAATATAAAATAATTTCAAAATGGAAGGCTTTCTAACTAACACAGTTAAAAAAGGAAAGATAAATGGGTATGACTTTTCAGAAATATAAAATTTTTATATGGGGCAAGACACGTAAGTGATATGCTGAGAGAAAATATTTAACACATATCTAAAATAACAAAAAAATCATTACTACTAACAAAGAGCATCTATAAATCAGTAACAAAATGTCAAACAAATAGAAGAGAGGTAAATTTGAGAAAGAAGTGTACAAGTGTCCTGAAAACACAACCTCTGCCATACTAGAAATAGAAGTAATAAAAATTAAAATAGTGAGCTAATATTCTTTACCAAAAAGTTGGTAAAAATTTAATACATCTATAATATTCAGTACTAGCAAGGGTGTAGATAACAGGGCATACCTATACTTTTGGTAAGTGTGTAATTGGTAAAAACAAAACAAAACAAAACAAAACAAACAAACAAACAAAAACCTTTGGAAGATTTTAAATGTTCATACATTTCAGCCCAATTATTCCACTTTTAGCTATCTATGCACTAGAAATACTATAACGATGCATGTGGAAATATGTGCAAAGATGTTCACTGCAATGTTGTTTAGGTCACAAAAAAATTAGAAACAACCTGAGTGTCTATATAGTTAATAAGGTGCATCCAAAGGTGATAGTAGGAAGAGGAAACACAAAACTAAATCCTAGTACAACACTGGTGCTGACCACATAGAATGAATTAGTCAGAATGGACATGGGCCATAAATAATTAGCACAAGAACACTGCTGCGTACTGGCTTGATTTCAGCCATGGGTACGTCATTTTAGGCAGCTGCTTTTAAAATTGGGACATATTTGTAGGAATTACACTTGAAGGGCACCCATAATATACTACTGAAGGGAAATAGTAAGTTGCAGAATTGTCTCCAGATACTTAACATGATTTTATTTTTTACCAAAAATTAAAAGAAACAGAAAACCCACTGTTTATGTGGCAGAATGTGCTGCATATAATTTTCAAAATATTTTGAGATATTTAATAATTAATTCATCACATCTTAATATTTGTTATTTATCAGTTATTTACCCTTCACTGTATTTTTCTATATGCTTTAACCCTTCCTCTAACCAGCTGCTCTCTTTTCCTTCTTGCCTCTCAAAAGGGATGACATAGTGGACAGAAGAGGAAAAAAGAAGAAGTTGAGTTTGAATTTCACATGTTTACTCTGCCAGAAAAAATGGAAATGATGCAGGCATGGAGAAGAGATTTGGAGGAAGGCACAGTAAGGTTAGAAGATGCCACCTTCATCACTTCCGTTATCAAAGAGAAAGGAGGAAGACAGTTGGGGGTAAACAATGAGATGTTGATAGAAGGGGGTTTGTGAGGAGGAGACTCCTAATCCCATCCTTCAGCCATCCTGGGGCAAAGCCAGCATAAGAGTAGGGCAGGGCAGTGACAGCCTTCGGGGGGGATTTGAAGAACTGAAAGGAGGGTCCCTCTCCAGAGAGGTGGCTGTGTGGTGTGTCTGGGTAGATGGGTTTGAGTCAGCTTCACAAAGTCAGGACTTCCAGGGTGGTGCAGGAACCATGGTAGGATTCTTGTACAACCTGGGACATTCACAATTGTTATTGATGAAGTTTTGGGGTGATAGGAGGTTCGTGGGGTCCAGAGCTGACGGCCAAGAAACAATTCTTGATGACGTTTTTGGTGCAAAAAGGTGATTTTGTTAAAGCATGGGGACAGGACCCATGGGCAGGAAGAGCTGCCCTGGGGTTGTGACAGGTAACTCATTATATACCCTCAGGTCAGGAGGGAGTCAGGGATTGAGTAAGTCTCTAAGGAATTTTGGAAACAAGATTTCCAGGACCTTGAGGGGCTGGCTGTTGCTAGGGAAAGTGCCAGTTGTTACCATTCAATAAAACCTCAGTCATGAGACCCTTCAGATGCATATTGGGGGCCATAGGCTTGGAGTATGATTGCCAACATATATCTTGGGGCAGATGAGATAAAAGAAGTAGATTTACAGGATCCTCAAAGTTGGGATAATGTTAAGCTAAGATTCCCTTTTGCCCCCAGCATAGTGTCATCCTTGAGGCAGCTGAGCTCCTAGAAGGAGTTCACTCTGCTGGTCTCAAAGACTTGTCATTGGGCTATAGGCAGTAAGGGAATTTAATTCTTCATTTGCCTTAGTTTCCCACATTACCATGGCAAGCACTTAAACCCCTTTCCTTTGTTCTTGGGTAGCTAGGAGTGTCCCAGGAATATCACACATATTCCACCTGGGGTGGGGTGGGGTGTGGTGTGCCAGCCTCATCATTATTAGTCCAAGGACAGCACAAACTTAATACCAGAAGTGACCTAACCTTCAGAGGCTCTGCAGGGAGGGACCTCGATGAGTCTACCACCCAGGATCCTGTTGGACAAGAGTCAAGAAACCTTGGCACTGTGTAATGTCACAACCATGTGCTCAACTCTGAGGAGGGAGGTGAGGTGTTCATCAAGGAGAAGAGCTGATTCAACAGCATGGGAGCTCCTACAACATGCTAAGTGGTTGGGGCACCTGGGTGGCTCAGTTGGTTAGGTGACCGCCTTTAGCTCAGGTCATGAGATCACAGTTTGGGAGTTAGAGCCCCGCGTGGGGCTCTGTGCTGACAGCTTGGAGCCTACTTCAGATTCTGTGTCTCGCCTTCTCTCTACCCCTCCCCTGCTCATACTCTGTGTCTCTCTGTCTCTCAATAATAAATAAACGTTAAAAATTTTTTTTAAAAAATTAAAAAAAAAACATGCTAAGTGGTTGTAGAAAAAGAAAAATACCATTTTCTGTATGCTTGCATTTGTAGAGCGAAATTTGTACCTGCCCTTACCTGGATGTCTGTCTTGTCTCATTTTCTTTTATTTATTAGGTTTTTATTTTAATTCCAGTATAGTTAACCTATTGTGTAATATTAGTTTCAAGCATACGATAGAGTGACTCAACACTTCCATACAACACCCAGTGTTCATCACAACAAGTGCGCTCCTTTTTAAAACAATTTTTCTGATGTTAATTTATTTGAGAGAGAGAGAGAGAGAGAGAGAGAGAGAGAGAGAGAGCATGAGCAGGGAAGAGACAGAGAGAGACATAGACACAAAACCCAAAGCAGGCTCCGGGCTCAGCTGTCAGCACAGGAGCTGTGAGATCATGACCTGAGCCACAGCCAAAGTCCGATACTTAACCCACTGAACCACTGAGTGCCCCACAACAATGGCAGGACTTAATCCCCATCATCTATTTCACCCATCCCCCACCCAACTCCCTTCTGAGAACCATCAGTGTGTTCTCTATAGTTAAGAATCTGTTTCTTGATATGTCTCTTTATCCTTTATTCATTTCTTTTGTTGCTTACATTCCACATGAGTGAAATCATATGGTATTTGTACTTCTCTCACTTTCTTTAAATCCAAAACCCTATTGTTACCCCAACCCCCTGAGAATTTTTATGGAGCAGGTGGAGATTTTCACTTTTTTCCTTATAAACCTCTGTTATGATGAATTTTTTTTTACAAGGGCACACACTTCTTCTGTAATTAAAAATAACAAAGAAAATAATTGACATACACTCCCATGCATCAAACAGTAGCCTAAAAGAAATATCAAATTGGTTATTCAAGGTTAAATGTTTCCAAAGTAAGCATCCCTTTAATTTTTGGCTGCAAAAATCATTCATATTGTCTGCATCTAAATTTAATTGACCAAATAAAATAAATGAAGACTTTTTGTTTAAAGAAGACAGTGAAATGTGTTGGACCTGCTTCTTTTCATGCCCTATCACTGCTCAGCAATTGAAGCAACTATTAACTCGGCTTATGCCTATTAACGGCTGGATGCAGTCTTTCAGAATTTCCTTCCTAAGACAGCAGGGCAGAATCAATGGCAGTTTCAGCTCTCTTGAAGATTGATACAGGGTTGCAGTGCTTAGCAAAACCATGTGATCTTTTAATCAATCACTGAAATAAATCTATGCAACTGGTGTCGGGAACCAAAGTCATTTCACACTCACCTTCCCAATTCCCTAGAATCAAGGGAAATAGAATCCAAATTAGACTCACTGAGCCACACTACTGAGCCTCCACTCCCAAAGGATTTTAATATTTGTCACTGTTCAGAAGACTTGTCTTGCAGTAAAAAACAAACAAACAAAAAAAACAACGGAGGCTGGCATATTTATCTGTAAATATGAGAGTGATGGAGCATCCCTTATGGTCCTGGCTCATAAATAGGCTAAGTCAGAATATTGTTGCATGAAACCATAATCCCCAATCACTGGCATGTAAACAGTAGCTACATCTTTTCATAGGATACTAGAAAGGTTTTGCAGAAATCTTATGATTCACTCTCCTGACTCATTTTATTAAATATAAAATTTAATAAAATATTTCTACACAGAAGATTCTTTTTTATTCTTAAATATCTTGAGGAAAGAAGTTTCTCTAAAAATATCATTTATAACCTCACCTTCTTTACTTCTAGGAATTTCTTCCACGTAAAAATCAACTCTTGATTTAATCTACATAATAAGAAAGATGAGTGAACCATTGAGTCCAGAATGATAAAGAACTTAAAAGTAATTTAACCTTGCCCTGAAGTATTGTGGGAGCATTACATAGTGAAGAACAATGCAATGTTATCTGAGTAATGTTTTTAAGAGCTTTTATTAGCTGACCCACCCCAAATTCAAGTGTGTGTCAAAGGAGTGGCCACGTCCAGTGTTTCTCAAGTTCAGGACCAAAACAGCATCTTAAATCATCTTCCTGGCCTCTGTGTTTGAACATTTAGCCTCTCATTGAACACTTTGTTAGTTGCCTACAGTCTCACTGGGTACTCAGGTAGAGTAAGCAGCAGAAATGTACATTTCACTTGAACAGACATGGCTCTCAGCATGCTATAATGTATAAAACCTGGGCTGAAAGCATACGGGGGTCTTCATAGCACATCAGGGGAATGGGAAAGGAATAGGAAACAAGGGACCAGAGTTGAGGAGCTAACTCCATGGCAACGTGGACTCCAAAATGAGGGGATCCAGGACTCCTCCAAATAGGTTAGGAGTATGGTTAACTTGAGTTTGAGCTTGGCTGTCGTGAGTACACAAAGCATGTACTGTAAATGTTGGGACAAAATAGTAGTAGTTTCGAAGCAGCATTATGCTTTATGGAATGAGGTGGTGGCATCACAATTCTAGATGGTCCTAGCAACTACTAGGAGCATATCCGAACAGAGTTCCAGTTCCCTGAGAGAGGAAAGGTGTGGCAGTGTAAAACGATCAGTCCAGCTCTACCACACATGCCAAGACATTTAGACAGAAGCCATCTGTGTAGATTAGACAAATAAGTGGGCTTCAGAGGAAAGGTTGTGGTTCTTGGGACAAAGATTCTCAATGTGTTGAGTATGCCAGATATTGTAAGATCAATAAGATTCCACCAGCTGGTCCCCAGGAAGCCACTATCATACTCTCTAATCAGCTCAGAAACTGGGCAGAAATGAGTCTGGTTAAGGTCTGAAGATTCAGCAGAGCTGAGGAAGTCATGAGCACCAGTTGTCTATGTTAGTTAGACATTTGGGACCCTCTCCCACCAACTACTGTGCTACCAGGTGCCCCAGAGATATATGACATAGATAAACCACAAGATTCCTTCTAGGAAGCATTTTTCTCCCTGATCAGAGTTTAAGACAAAATAATATGTTATTTTTAAGTCTAAGTTTAAAGATGATTTATTGTCATTTCAAAGCATATGCTACTTTGTGTTTTATAAATGGAAACCAGGTGAAATGTATCCTTTGAAAGACATTCTCTGGGGCTATGTTTAATCAAACTCTAACACCCAGATGATGGCGTTCCTGGCAGAATTTCAAAACAAAGGCCACTCTGAGGACAGAGCATGTAATTATATTATAGCAAGGGGTATTTAAGCAAGATCCTAAGATGAGAATGCCAAATACAGTGACTTTGGAATACAGGACTGTGAGGTCACATGACTGTATGAAATTAGATCAGGGTATTTTTAATAGTAAGTTGTGTTTAGTTTAAGAGTGGCGTCACCTGGGAAATAGACAACTTGCGTCTTATGATTTCACAAATTTTCTCCTTTTATTTTAAAGCATTAAACCATTAAGAAGACATTTTACCAATTTTAAGTGAATAACATTTTCTTTAAAAAATTTTTTTTAATGTTTATTATTTTTGAGAGAGAGAGATAGAGACAGACAGAGAGCAAGCAGAGGAGGGGCAGAGAGAGAAGGAGACACAGAATCCGAAGCAGGCTACAGACTCTGACCTGTCAGCACAGAGCCCAACTAGGGGCTTGAACTCAGAAGCTGTGAGATCATGACCTGAGGTGAAGTCAAATGCTTAACCCACTGAACCATGCAGGTGCCCCCCCGCCAAGAGACTGATTTTTTTTTTATTTTTTATTTAATTTTTAATTTTTTTAAATGTTTATTTTTGAGAGAGAGAGACAGAGTGCGAGTCAGGGAGGGGCAGAGAGAAAGGGAAACACAGAATCCAAAGCAGGCTCCAGGTTCTGAGCTGATGGCACAAAGCCTGATGCGGGGCTCAAACTCACAGACCACGAGATCATGACCTGAGCCAAAGTTGGATGCTTAACCGACTGAGCCACCCAGGCACCCCCAACAGGGCTCATTCTGATTCAGGATGTATGAGTGGTCTCCTTCTCAGTGAAACTTACTACATCCTCTCTTTCCAATGGGATGAACAGAATCAATCTGCTTTCAGAAAGGTGGTCTTCGTGTCTCCAGTGTGTGTGTGTCTACTAGGAATGTCTCTCCCATCTGGAAAGATCTAGCCTAAAACATTACTCTTGTTGGAAAACTAATTAAATTTTTTTTCCTTAGGAGGTAGACTATGGTATCGTGGAAAGACACTTTGAAATTTTGACAGCACACTGGCAAAAACTTCCTACCCTTCACATCAGGGACTGTGTTCTTTGCAGGGCTATGCAGATTCTGAAACACAATGCTATAATTACAGGCCTGGATTCTGTGTGTGTTCTCAAGCCTTGAGACATCAAGGTATTAAGTTTTCTTTCCCAGAATAAATGCAATGTTTCTTATATCTGATTATTTAGTGTGACAGAGACCACATCTTATGCTGCATTAGAAAGAATGATTTATCCGTTAACACCTTTTTAGCTATATAGTAAGGAAACAAAATCCTGTTAAATCCGTGAGTCCATACCTCAGGGATCCTTTTGTTTTGGATAAATATGTGCCCCAAGCTAGCTTAATTTTCCTTTAGAGGCAGGGAGCTTAATGTAAGAACTAGCCTTTAAACTTGGAGAAAGCTGACAGGCTATGTCTGCACCTTCCTCAGTAAAATAATTTCAAAGTCATTTTGAGTGTAACTTCTGGACAAACCAATTAAGAGTGGTGCCTTAAAAAGTGAGATCAGAAACTTAACAATATTTATGGCCAAGATGTAATAGAAGATGATTTTAGCACAACGGGCAAGTTGTAAGAAAAGGCAGGCATCCGAGTGAGAAAAGAGGACTCAGCCTTCTGATTTGTACTCCAGGTCTTGCTACTTCTGCCAAAACCCTGTAACTCCAAAGTCCCTGATCAGGCTGCTGCTCTTTCTGGCCAGACAGCAAAGCCTCCCGCCAGGTGCCTGCAGTCTTCTATCCAAAAGGGAAGAGTCAAGAATAATGAAAGCACAGGACTAGAAGGCACCTCAAACATCTAGTCTATTTCTTGAATCTCCTTTGTAATATCCCTCCTGAATGGGCATCCAAAAATGGAATTTATTCTCTCCAAAGGCAGTTCACTTTACATTTGTAAGGCTCCAGCTATTAGAAAAATCTTGCTGGTTAAGAGTTGACCTCTCTCTGTGTGTGGCTCCCTCTGCTCACTGTTGCCAATTTTCCTACTTGGGCGTATACTAAACACATATAATTCTTCCTGTTTATGTCAGTTCCTCAGATATTGGAGCACAGCTATTCTATTATTCCTGAGGCTTCCCCCTCCTTTTCTTCAATGGTAAACACTGCTACCTACTCCTTTGACCGTTTTTCATTTAACATGATTTTAGAACCCTTGCCAGTATAGTTGCTTTCTTTGAATACATTGAGTTTGTTTACAACTTAACAAAAAATGGTATTAGGACAGAACCACTCTAAGATTGGAATAATCAAGAAACAGAATAGAGCTGGCCTCATACCTGCCCCTACTTCCATCAATGCAGGCTAAGTTCAATGTTTTTCTTTTCTTTTTTTTTGGTTATCTCAATATTCCATTGACTTGTCTAGCCCTTCTTTTTGAAAAACAGCTTACATCTTTTGTATTTGTGATCTGTATTTTCCCCATTCTATACGTGCACAGCTGTTTTAGACCCAAGACAGGACGTTGTATTTTCCCAGGTTAAATTTTATCTTGTTAAAGTCAGATCATTGCTCAAGTCTCTCAGAATCTTTTAGTTTCCAGGTTTAGTCAGTCAATATATTTTCCCTCTGCTCTTCAGTTTTCTCACAAATGAGAAGAGAAACTACCTCATAAGATGGTTGTA